TTTAAGTATCTCGGGGTCTTGTTCATGAGTGAGGGAAAACTGGAGCGTGAGATCGATAGGCGGATTGGTGCTGCATCTGCAGTGATGCGGGCGTTGTACCGGTCTGTCGTGGTGAAGAGAGAGCTGAGTCAGATGGCAAAGCTCTCGATTTACCGGTCGACCTACGTTCCTACCCTCACCTATGGTCATGAGGTTTGGGTAGTGACCGAAAGAACGGGATCACGGATACAAGTGACCGAAATGAGTTTTCTCCGAAGAGTGGCTGGGCTCTCCCTTAGAGATAGGTTGAGGAGCTCGGTCATCCGGGAGGGGCTCGGAGTAGACCTGCTGCTCCTCCACATCGAGAGGAGCCAGTTGAGGTGGCTCGGGCATCTGGTCAGGATGCCTCCTGGACGCCTCCCTGGTGAGGTTTTCAAGGCTCTTCCAATCGGGAGGATACCTAAAGGTAGACTCAGGACACGGTGGAGGGACTATGTCTCTCACCTGGCCAGGGAATGCCCTGGGACATGAAAATAACAAAATTATTTAAAAGAAATGATTGATAAGAAGGGATTAGTTCAGTCTGAGTTATCACTGCTGCTGCCAGCCTCAACTTTAGATTTTCCTTTGTATGTTTATATTCATTATCACTGATATCACTCAGAATTGCAATTTACTCAATACTTGGTATATGGTTGAGCTGTGTGTGTGTGTGTGTGTGTGTGTGTGTGTGTGTGTGTGTGTGTGTGTGTTTGCATACAAAATAATTGCAGCTCCCTTAAACTAGATTAGCAACCAATAGTTGTTTATTTGTTCTTTACTGTGTGAAGCAATAAGGTAGAATGTACAAGATTCTGAAAATGTTGGAATGGTGTGTGGCTGCACCGCTGCAAGTCTCTGTAGCGCATAATCAGGATTCGAGAGAACATCTCTGACTCACCTTCTCTAACGCTGCTGTTTTCAGAGAGAATTAAAACACCCAACATTCCTGTGGGCTGAGCGATGGCACAAAGTTGGCTCCATCCACCAAGAGTGGCTCTTGGTGGATGGAGCAGCAGGTGCAGCTTCATTTCTGAAGTTCCTGAAGAGTCAAAGTGGCACCCGAAACCAAAACTGCACGTTGGCCTGTATTTGATATAGCGCCTTCTAGAGTCATGGAACCCCTCAAGGCGCCTTACAACACAATCAGTCATTCACCCATTCACACACAGCTGCCCTGGGGCGCACTGACAGAGGCGAGGCTGCCGAGCCCTGGTGCCACCAGTCCCTCCGACCACCACCAGCAGGCAACGTGGGTTAAGTGTCTTGCCCAAGGACACAACGGCAGCGACAGATTGAGCGGGGCTCGAACCTGCAACCTTCCGATTACGGGGCGAGCACTTAACTCCTGTGCCACCGTCGCCCCAACACATAAACGTTCACATAAACGTTGAACGTCTTCAACCATTTTATCTCAGACGCGTGTTTAGTTTATGTTTTAAATATGAAAATATTCAAGTTACACAAGATCTTTCTTCTAAGGTAACAACTACAAAATGGGAACCCAAATTTTTGGTTTGTTAGAACTCGTCAGGAATTTTCTTGCTTTGCTAATCGAGAAAGTTCTTCAGATGACTAAATGGCTGCTTACTTTAAATCACGTCAATGTTCTAATAGGTGTTAAATGTTTAGGAGGAATTTGTATCCATCTAAACCAGAAACTTTATAAGTAAAAACATTTTAGCTGCAGTTTTGGAAGTTTGAACGAAGGACAAAATCAGGAAATCAAAGCAACACTGCATCTTAGTTGCATCTCATAATGAAACTTTGCATTACCTAAACCAACAGGAACTCTTTCTTTGATAATCGAACAAGATACAGGCTGAGCAACATGTTTAACTAAATAGGGAGTACCAGGAAGGGAAAGTGAAAGAATCACTTTTTCAAGGGCGTGAGCAATATTCATGTGCATAAAAAGACAAACGCCTGACAGAGGTGAGACATCATCCACTCTTCTGCAGGATTTCTCACTGAAAGCTAATAAATGTAAGATGTGCACTATTTCTCTTACTTTGAAACTTTTCAGGTGTAGAGGGGTAAATATTGTTGCTTTTAAGCTTAATATGTTACCTTTACTTATGACCAATATGATGTGATATTCTATATAAATATAGAATATCAACCTGATTGGCCTTTGGATGTTTAATCAGAAGATTCTAGGATTCTTTGCTTTTTCCAGGGACCAACACACTTCGTCTCAATTCAGACAGAGTCAGGTTTATAAAAGGTAAGATATTTATTTTCTAATAAATAAAACCATGGCAAGTTAACCAAGGCTACTGTGATGGATGAATCTAAGAGGATGGGATGTGATGCATGGAGATTGAATGGTGTGTGTTTATCAGAATCTTTTATCTAGAAGAACTGAGTTCTGGGTGTGAAACAGAATTTGGTTTGCATTAAACTATGAAGTTGGTTCTTATTAAAATGTCATCAGACGCAATCACGTGTTATACCTCACCGTTTTTGGAGAACCTCTTCGTGGATCCGGAGGTCAGGGAGGTCGGATGACCTCTGGGCACCCAGGTCCAGTAAATTGACCGCAGTACCGACTTCTCCAGTCCAGAGATGTCGCCAGGCACACAGGTTGGAACTTGTTTGCATCTGGAAGGACTCTTGAGGAGTCGAAACTGTATCTGCTTTGTTCTGCAGGAACTGTTTGCTGTGTCAGCTTCAGCGTGTAGTAGGGGCTGCATGACTTAATTTTTTTTTAAAGTCGACTGTCAAGTAATGAAAATCAAGTCGACATTGACTAGTCGTTGATGACGTCATACACCTGAAGCGGCGGTGGGGGTGGGGGGTCGGTTGGTTCGCTGGAGTTTTTGACAATTAAAATTGGGCCCACATTGTCAAAGTTAAACACATTTCTCTTAACAACGGTAGTGTCTGTTTCAGCCCTCTCCCCCCTCCCCCTGCGCAGCGGCCGCAAACTCACTGATGCGCCTGCAGCTTCTCAGAGTTCCTGCTGCTCTAGACATTAAAATAATAATTTCATTTTCTGTTCCTCACTTCTGATTACCTTCAATGGTGTCTGTTTGTTGCAACCAGCAGGTACAAATCTCTTGTTTTTATTTGACTATTTTTCTGTCCTGTCTGTTTATTATCTTCCTGCATCTCCTCTCAATCCTAAAGAAAAACTGCTACCTGGGTTCATATATATTCACCTTATGAGTTACCTTTGAACTGCAGTTCTAAAAGATCTACCGACCGCAAAAACAGCGGGGTGCGCGCCGGCCGCACCGGTGAGGTGCGTCACCGGAGGACAAGGTGATGCGCCCCGCTCCACAGCAGCGAAACGCATCAGGCACAAATAAAAGACAGAAAACATAAAAGGAAATGAGCCGACATGAACGATCGCGTGTTAAATTTGTTTTTGAGGTGGTGACACCTGATTTGATAATGTTACTGTGGCCGTGCTCAGGACGCAGATGTCTGGAACGCGTCAACTATCAGAGCTTTGCATGCGCAAGCTGGTTAAGATTAGGATAGGGTGAGGGGAAGGTTAAATTGCAAGAGGGTAAACGTCACAATTTGGTTAAATGTCCGCTTCATGGCGGGTGTCAGTACCGATGCTCTGGCACAGCGCGTTGCCTCCCGACGCGCAGGAGCTCCTCACCTGCTGTCTTTTCCGAGGACTGCATCTTGTTGGTCATTATCAACATAGCCAGCGACTAGTCGATGACAGGCATAAAAATTCACTACAGAGCAGTGAAGTCGAATAGTCGACTAGTTTATACAACCCCTAGCGTGTAGCAGGGTTTTTGACAGCTTGTCAAAAATGCTCTGGGTTAAAGAGGGTTTGTTCCGGATGGCCTGTCTGTAGCTTTCTCTAGAACTGGCTCACCGTCAAATGAGCTCTGTTTTAATATTCTCATATTATGATTTCTTGGCCAACCGGGACGTGCCATGTTAAGTGGTGTTCACAAGCAAACCTCAGAACGTCACGCCTCTTTCAGATACAGGATGCTCTGATTTGTGGCTAAGAAAATATCTATGTGCCATGACGTTTAACTTAACTTTAATTTATCTCTAATGAACCTTGTGTCTGAGTGTAGATAACGATTCACTTGTCATATCAAACATTACTTATCATCATATGTAAATCTTTGAATGTAATAATAACATTCATTTAAAACTTCAGTAATTCAAGCACAGATTAATCAACCTTATTAATTTAAGCACAGATAAATCAAGACATTATTATTATTCATCAACCATTATTGTTCATTTCATTTCACGTTTGATTAGCTCATATGAGCTGAAAATAGTCACTTTATTCAGAGAGTGAGCAATCCTGTGGTGTTATCAAAAGAAGGCTTTGTTTGGGAACACAGCCTGACATCTTGTTCCTCATGAAACGTCAACAAGGCTGCAGTATCCTTCTGGGTTTGTTGGAAGCTAGGATGTAAAATCCACCTTATTTATGTCTGCAGATGAGCATGTAGGTCAATCTGTAGGTGGAAACTGACCATTGCTGGACATTACACAGGGTCACTCAAAAATGATTTTCATTTGCTTTTTTGAAGTAGAACTTTCTTTAATGTTTGATGAATTTATCTTATTTGGTGCTATTCTGCACACACAAAGGACATTATTTACTTTTATATTCTCATTTATAAACCATAAAAATATTATTTTTGTATTTTGGGGCTTTGCATTTTAATAATAAAAATGTAGAAGAGTTGATGTTTTAAATTCAGTTTCAAGTCCTCATATAAACATATTTATTTATGATGTAATTAGTGGGGCATAATCAGTTCTGAAAAAGTATTTTTAAAAAACATGTTTTTCTAAATTGATGAAATTAGCACCTATTTTAAGAAATTTTGTGTGTTGTAGAAATTCAGTCAGATTTACTCATAGATTTCACATTTTAAATAAAAAATCACATGAAATCTGTGCAGCTGAGGTGCAAGGAAAGAGTGAAGATGGGTGAAAGAAATGGGGGGGGGGGGTGACTGGACAAGAGAAAATAATGTGTGAACACCTTTCATAGAATGGAGGAGCAACAACCATTTCTTTATTAATTCCTCTCTCTGTTGCAGTCTGATATCCTCCATGACGGACATAGAAGCATCTGACACTACGTCCCCCACTAACATCAAAGATACATCTCCTGCCCCTTTAAGCACCGGAATGAACACCAGCAAGCACGACGTCTTCAGGAAGTTCCTGGACACGAGCATCAATGACCAGGAGCAGCTGCAGAAGCTGAACCTTCGCTTCGCCAAGTACATCAAGACGGTCCGCTTCCTGGAGAAGCAGAACCAGAAGCTGGTGATGGAGATGGACGGTCTGAAAGGCCACAAGTTCAACCACATCACTGGAATGTACGAGGAGGAGCTGAACAAGCTGAGGAAGCAGGTGGAGCTCCAGGCTAATGAGAGGTCACGGCTGGAGGTGGAGCTGAGTGAGCTAAATGAAAGGTGGGATGGGCAGGTGGTGTGTGTGTGTGTGTGTGTGTGTGTGTGTGTGTGTGTGTGTGTGTGTGTGTGTGTGTGTGTGTGTACAGATGTTGAAAACTTGACATTGCTATAGACATTGTTTGGATGCTATTCTTTAAATATGTAATAATAATAATAAAAGTAACACAGAGCATTTTCCTGCTTCTTACAACTACCGTAAACAATCCTGCAGTAGCATGCTGTAGCTAGCGCTTACAACGCTAATGCTAACATGAGCAAAATCGTACTGATTAAATCACAAATCAAAAAGACGAACACTGTTGGTCAAACAATACTATTACTCACAAGTCCAGTAGCAACAAAGCCAGGTCACTATCAGTCTGTGATTTTTATAGCCTTTTTCAGCTTCCTCAAACTAGTGTTGTACATGTCGATGTTTATTCTGGATGTAGCTATTTGCTTTACCTCCAAAGACATTACCCTTTCACTTTTACTTCCAGGCTCCACTATGACGCCACAGAAAAACTAATGTCTTCTTTTTCTTCTTCTTGTGATTTTTTTTTATTGACGATCAGCAAACTGAAAAAGCTAACCACCAAATGGTTCCCGAGTGCGGCTGTGTCTGCAGCTCACCGTTCCCCCAGGGGATGGGTCAAATGTGGAGAACAAATTTCGCGCACACATCAGTGTGTGTGTGACAACTAATGGGACTTTAACTTTAGCTAACAGCTGTAATGCAAGTTTAAGTTTTTAACTCAACAAACACTGAGATCAATGTTAAAGCTCTAGTATAAGTTAAAAAAAAACTATTTAGTAGGGATGGACAATATATCGGCATCAATATCGGTATCGGCCGATGTTAGTCATTTTTTAACAAATCGGTCCGATAAATAAAACCGGGCCAATATTAACAACCAATATTTTTTCCATCTCGTCTCCATTTGTTTGCCTGTTTCAGAGGGTGAGGGGGGTGATATTTGTTTAGTCATGGGAACAGTGATTGTAATCATCTCAGAAGCGTAAAAGTGTGTGTTGTGTGTACATAATAACATAAATTCAGCTATAATAATTTACATTTTTGTTACACCCCTCAGTGTGCTCAGCTAGGGAGGAGAGGGGAATAAACATAAGAAGGACGAGTTTAACGCAAAGTAACCCTAATGGGGGAGAAGAAGGCTTGACAAAGCAAAACCAAACTCAAAGTGTCCTTGTCTTTACAAAGGTTTTATTAAAAAGAAAAGAAAAACCTAAAGAAGGGGCCAAAAACCCTTACCTAGAATTTAACTAAGCTAAATTTATTTAATTAACTAAAAATGTCCAAAGGACCAACCACACTAAGAATCCTAAAATAAATAAAGCAGACTGGAACTTAAGATAATGGGCAAAAATCCCACCAAGTAGTTAAATAAAGGTTTGTCTAAAAGACAAACCAAACAAAAGGTACAAAATTAACTAAAATTGTCAGAACACCAAAATTAGCTCAGGAAACCGAGATTTCAAAAGTGGAAAAACCCCACCTGGTACTTTACCCAAAGGTAGTCTAAATGACTCACCAAACCAAAATTACCGGTTAACTCAAATGATCCCAAACACAAAAAGTCCTAAGATTGCTTCTTCTCAAAAGGAAGCAGACTACAAACTGGTTTAAACCACAAGACCAAGATAACCGCCAGGGGGAGCGAACACACGTTGCTGCTGCAACCTACAAACATTTCTCTCCCCGATGAGCTTCAGCTGGCCGCTTTTGAAGGGCCATCTGATGAGTTGAAAAGTCCCAGCTGGACGTGACTGCTGCTCTGGCGCGGTCCATGGTCCTGAAGTAAAGACAGCTTCCCAAGGAGCAGTTGTCCAAGGTGCTGCTCTTCTGCACAGGAAACGGAGTGCAGCACATCACTGGGCTCCAAAACGGCGGCGGCCGTAACAATTTTATACAAAATAGCAGATTTTATAAGCATTTGTCGTTATCAGCAAATATCGGTTATTGGCCATAACAGTGATCTTTATATCGGATATTGGTATGTATGTACTGACAATACAGTGGAATGTATTTATCTACTTATAAACTTACTGTGTGTGGCTCGACTTCTAGAATTTTCTGGCGCTGAGCCGTGACAGTTGCTCGTTTGTTTTGGAACATGGACTGCAGTACCCAAAGTTGACCTCATGATGTCATTCTTACTTCATTAACCTTTAAAATGCAATACTTTGCTTTGGGCGCCATTGCTGTCACACGACACACTTAATGTTGGTTTAAATTCATTTCCTGTCCAGATTGCAGGAGGAGACTCTTCAAAAAGAAGAAGCAAAGAGGACTCTAACAGCGCTGAAGATGGTAATTATTATGGTGTCAAATGTTAAACTCACTGATGATTTTTTTTCATTAATGTACTTTTCAAATGATTTATTGCTTGAATGAGGTGAAGCTTCATAAAAAGAATTACTCTGTTTCTGAAATGCTTGTTAAGATCAAGCGAAGGTGTTAAGGTCAGACTACATGCTGGATAACATTTGTCTAACCTTTGGTTAATTTAGGTTAATATTAGATTATTTATCTTTAATTTCTGCACTCCCAAACCTCTGCAGAATCTGGATGCTCCAATTATGGCTTGCAAGGTTCTGGAGAACAAGATCAAGGTTCTGCAGGAGGAAAAGGAATTCCAGAGGAAGATTCTTGAAGAGGTTCTTCCGATTGTTTTGGTTTTCTTCATTTATTCACTTTCCGTCTATTGGATTTTAAATTGTACCTCACAGTGGTTACGGAAAGTATTCAGACCCCAGTAAATTTGGGCTCTTTGTTATGTTGCAGCTAAAATCTATTAAATTCATTTTTTCCAGAGATGTAACTCACTTTGTTGTCTTTCTGCAGAAGGTTCGTAATCTGCAGGAACAGATAAATGAGATGAAGAGCTTCGATGAGGTGGACACGTCCCAACCCAAAATAGCGGATACACTGAGAGATGTGAAGAAACATTATAACGACCTAGCCAGGATGAATAAAAGTGAAGCTGAGAAGCAGTACAAGTCCTCGGTAGGAGACACTGCTAATCTGTAATCATACTAGTGGGTGGGTTTAGCATGATGCGGTCCTGATCCATCGGATTTGATAAAGCAGCTTTTCATCATGTAAAGTTTTTCTTTCAGTTTTGTTGTTGGTTAAAAAAAAATCTTCTGAAAAAGGAGGCTTGAAAAAATAACTAAAATTTCAGATTAACATCCACCCAAGGTGCTTTACAACACAATCAGTCATTCACACACTGGTGGTGATGAGCTACATTGTAGCCACAGCTGCCCTGGGACTGACATGGTCTGGGGAAGGCGTTTAACCCAGAACATGCAGAATCACAACAAACTCACTGATTTAATGAAAAAAATAAGAATGTTTATTTTAGAACGAGAACATAAGGCACACTGGGAATTCCAGTGGAGGTCGGCAAACAGAGTGCAGCACCTGAGGAGGGGAGAGCAAATAAAGGTGAGTCCAGAGAGGTAAGTCTTAACTGAGGAGGTGCAGAGAAAAGACATACAGGGAATTTCGGAGGTGTAGGTATTGGGAAGGGCAGGTCGAGAGTCGGTGTGTGTCCGGGTGAGGAGGTCCAGGAGAGGGAGCGTGGGGAGAGCAGGTGAGCGGATCAGATAGAGAACACCAGAGAGCTGCGTCCTGAATGGATATGTGGCAAAGGTGAGTATCCTGATGAGTCACTGAATCCTGAGAAGTCTCTACTCCAGAGATGTTCCAAAAATCCTGAAGAAGGTGTGAGCACAAAAATCCGCAAAGATCAATAAGCCAAAAACACAAGAGGCACAAAATCACGGCAACACTAGAAGGCTGGAAACTACCGAGTAGGACCCGACCGATATATCGGCCGGCCGATATAGGGGTCATTAACACTATCGGCTATCGGCCAAAAAGACGGCCGATATGGCCGATATTGCGCTACCTATCCAGCAGATGGCACCAGCTTAAGCATATTTGTTGTGTCAGTGGTAAGTTGAGCGGTAAAATAAGCAATGACAAAAGTATGTTTCCCCTCAACATGCTTCCTAAGTTTCCTTAAGGAACAAGTTCCTTAAGCTTCCTGGATAAGGGACGGATCCTCAATAAAGGAGCGTAGAACCCAGGAACGCTCCTTAGGACCGTACCCCTCCCAGTCGACGAGATCCTGGGTGCCCCGGCCACGGGGTCGGGAGTCCAAAATCCTGCGGACAGAATAAACAGGAACCCCCCCCCCCCCCCCCCGTAGAACCGCACAGGCAAAGGAGGAGCAGGTGTAGGACAGAGACGGCTAGTGGTCACTGGTTTCAACAAGGACACGTGGAACACTGGGTGAACCTTGAGAGAGCAAGGGAGGTCCAGCCGGACCGTGGAGGTAGTGGGGATGTCCAGAATCTTGAAAGGGCCCAGAAACCTGGGTGACAGTTTGCAGGTGGTTGCTCTTAGGGGAATATCCTTGGAGGAGAGCCTGACCTCCTGCCCAGGGGCGTAATCTGGAGCCGGGCGCTGCCGGCGATCAGCTAGCCACTTGTTTTTGTCAGCAGTCCTGTCCAAAGCCGCCCGGGTGGAGGCCCAAGCCCGTTTAGCCCTCCAAAGGAACTGTGGAACCATGGAAGGAGCTGGAGACTGTGGAGGGAACACGGAAGGTTGATAACCTAAGGAGGACTCAAAAGGAGACTGACCTGTTGCTGTAGAGACGTGGGAGTTGTGGGCGTATTCGATCCAAACGAGATGAGAACTCCAGGACGACGGGTGAGCGGAACATACACAGCGTAACATCGCCCCGAGTTCTTGGTTCATACGCTCACATTGTCCATTTGTCTGAGGATGGTATCCTGATGTGAGGGCGACTCGAGCCCCCAGAGCCTCTGCAAACTCCTTCCAGACTCTGGATATAAACTGGGGGTCCTCGATCAGACAGTATCTCCTCCGGGATACCATGCAAATGGAAAACATGTTTAATAAGTAGCTTGGCCATGACTGTAGAAGAAGGAAGAGACTTTAAAGGAATGAGTTGGCAGGCTTTAGAAAATCTGTCCACAATGGTGAGTATCGTGTTAAACCCCTGAGAATTCGGCAGACCACATAACAAAATCTAGCGCCACATGAGACCATGGTCGAGAAGGGGTTGGTAGTGGGTTTAATAGTCCTGTCGGTGACTGGTGGTCTCCCTTTTGCTGAGCACAAGTATGACACCCTGATATATAGTCTTTGACAGTGGATCGGTCCTCTGGGCCTCTAAAACCTGGTCTCGGATCTCCCACGTCACCCTCCCACCACACACGCAGGGGGTAGGATCGTGGAGGGCTCAGTCTCCTGGTCAGGTGCGTATTGTCTTGAGAGAGCATCTGGCTTGGTGTTCTTGGGGCCTGGGCGGTATGAAATCTGAAAGTTGAAGCGAGAGAAAAAAAAAAGGACCACCTGTATTGTCGCGGGTTGAGTCTCTTTGCCTCTCTCAGGTAGACCAGATTTTTGTGATCGGTCCAGATGATGAAGGGGATCTCAGCCCCCTCAAGCCAGTGTCTATTCCTCGATGGCGAGTTTCACTGCCAAGAGCTCTCTGTCGCCTACATCGTATCTGCTCTCTGTTGGGGTTAAACAGCGAGAAAAAAAGGCACAAGGGTGAAGGCGATGGTCAGAAGAAGGACGGGTTTCCACAGCATCTATCTGCATTCCTTCCTTCGTGGGGGTTGTTGTTGGCAGTCCAAGGCTGCCTTGGCGTCAGATTAGGATAACAAGACTGTGTTTGGGTCAGAAAGAGATAATTTTCCCCTCTGCCTTCAGTCTGTAACTGGTCATTCCAGTCCTTCAGTGAAGCCAATTCGGGTTATTAAACATCTCCACACCGTCCAGTGACCCTCTCCGAGATGACATCCAATTTGTGCACTAACACCGGTAACGCAGCTAAGATATTGTCCAGCTTACGATTCACCTCGAGTAACGTCCCAGTCTGTGAGGTCTCCACCCGGACGGTGCTGTTCAAGGGTGCGGGTCGCCCTCCAATCGCTCCCGTCTTCCCAATTTTCCGGAAAACCAGATATCGTCCCACTCCAATCAGAAGAAATCCAGTGATCATCAGGCCAAATATCCACATATCTTCGACGTCCTCAATGGACAGCTGAGAGAGACATACGACCTTCCACTCTTTCCAGGAATCGAGCATATATCCCGCTGCATGTGTCCCATGAGGGCAAATGGGAGACCCCTCCTCCGTTCTCATCGTAGAAAAAATCTTATCAATCGCGTTGAATGATCATCTAATTAAATCCATTTCTGAAAAATAGTGATTTCTAGAAGAAATGCAGAGAAGCGCTCTGTAGGCAGACAGGACAAAAGAGCCTTGGGAAAAAAAAAAGATAAGGGAGCAAAGCAGAAGCGTCTGTGCTCTGTGAGTGCCAGGAGAAGAAGGAGAAATCACAGTACAGGGTCAGACTATCTCCTTTACAGATTTCTAGAAAACAATCATATAAAAATCCTGAAAGAGAGAAACTCTGGATTGTAGCTGTGAAGAACTATCAGTTAATGCAGGAGGTAGGTGTAGGAGACTATTTTCATGTTCAGCCTGCATGAAAAACTCAGAGTGACTGATTCTAATCAGAAATAAGATTTCAAAAATGTTTTTCAGTGTTGGCACCTTTAAAATTTAGTGGAGTGAACGTAAAAAATAGGCCTAAAAAATTACTTAAGTAAAGTACAGATACAGAAAAATTATACCAGTAAAGACGTACTTGTACCTCTTTACATTCCATCACTGCTGCAATTTCTCTGAGTTATTAAATGTAATCTCTGACCTTTGACCCCACAGATGCTCATCATGAACCAGACAATGAGTAAGAACACCGAAGAGCTGAACAAGAGTCGCCAGGACATCTCAGAGCTCACGCAGCAGAACCGGAAACACATCAGGGAGATCGAGTCCCTCAAAGTCATCGTATGTAGAACCCGTCTCTTGGGTTAGACTGAAATGAACTCCTCAAAAACCTGCTTCATCCCGTCTCTCCTCTCTGGTAAAATCCAGAATGATGCCCTGAAGAAGCAGATAAAGGACATGGAGGAATGCCACACAGAGGAGGTCAGTGGCTTCCAGAAGACCATCGTAAGTCTGGAGACACGGGTCATCATCATGACGGATGAGAAGGAGCACCAGATCCAGGAGTATGAAAATCTGCTCGGAGTCAAAGTGCAGCTGGATGAGGAGATTGCCATCTACAGGAAACTGCTGGAAGGGGAAGAGAGCAGGTAAAGCATGGGTTAGATCATTTTTCCCTGTAGGTTTTTTTTATATATCTAACGTCCGTGTGCTTCTACAGGATTAACCCGTCTGAGACAAGCAGTGGAATTCAGAGCTCCCAAGGTACAACAACGGTAAGTGTATACACAGGAGTTGGTCATCCACTTTCTTTCAAACTGTTTAAGATCTTCCTAAAATCTTTATTGCTGTGATTATTACTTGTTTTGAATCACTTTCTGCTTAAAAAATGGAAATGAACATCACCACCATACAGATGGACGGAGAGGGGAATGATGACACTGAAGAATCAACTTCTGAATACTCTGATTCAGACGTCAACTACATAAATGAAGCAGAGGTAAAATATTCATGAAGCACCTTTAAATGATCCACACACAAATAAATAATTAAAACTGAAGAAACTTTTTCAGTCTCACTAATGTTTGTGTCACGGTGTAGGAGGTGGAGACGGCGGACCATGTGTGGATGAGCTGAGCAGGAGGTAAAAATGCAGGCTTCAGTAAAAGTAAAAATGGTTTAATGGCAGGATGGGATGAACAGGAACACCAACAAACAACAACAATGAACTGACCAAGGACAGGGGCAAAACAGGTGGTATAAATACAGAGGGATAATTAGGGAAACATGGGCAGGTTAACGAGGGACAGGTGAGAACAATAAGGGTAATCAAGGCAGGAGAGGAACACAGTCAGGCGGGCAGGGGCAGATCGTGACAGTTTGTCTGAAACAAATAGGTCAGCAAACGCAAATCACCATGTAAGTGTTACTGACATGTTGTTTCTACATTCCAGGATGTCTAACCTGCAGAGGACAAGAAGACACACACAAACACTGTTGTCCCTGCTGTGTTGAATAGAAACCACAGAGACAAACATGTCCAAAAATGATCATTGTTGATCTGAGGCCAAATATTTTAAAGGCATAATTTTGCAACTTTTTTCATCTTTTTAAATGATTTTCTTGAACCAGTATGTGCTAAAATAACACTTTACAGGGTTAATGAAATATCATTGCCCGTTGTGAGCAGGATACCCCGTTTGCAGCTCAGCGTCTCCGGACCGCTCCCCTGAAGTCTCACAAGTTGCCTTTTATGGCAATCAATAGGCGTGTTTCCACTACAAGAACTTCAGGTAGATTTAAAGGAACCTCCCGACATGCGCGCGTCTCCGCCTGACCGGGCCGTTTTAAGGAACCTTCTGAGTACCTGGTCAGGAGTAGGTACTCCGAACGGCCCGGTGAAGTAGCTCCAGTTAACTCAAGCTGATTGGTTGTAACTCAACAGGAAATGACATCAGCAGATGTCCAAAACAACCGGCAGCAGTAAAATTAGAAGAGGAGCTTTTGAAGCAGAATGGAAGCAAATAAATGAATAAATAAAGCACCGATGCGTTTAAAATATAAATCCAGACACCGGAAAACCTGGTGGAATTCCTTCACAGCTGTTGAAATAAACTGGGAAATTCCCCCACAGACTTAATTAAAGGGGCATGTCTCACAAAACTCAGAGCTGCTCTTGTCCTCTGAATGGATACAATTATTATATACACCTATAAAATAAATGCTTTCAATATTATTAATGTTACTTTGGGCACTTTTTGGGGCTGATCAGTGACATCACTCACCGCCAAAGCAGTCGTGATACGCTGACGTCTCTGCAAGTTCTGAGAGGGCTGGACATGAATGGAGACACAACAGCTGAGAGGACTGGGACATCCTATCTCCTGGTCAAGTTCCCCATCCCAGGAACTACCCTGGAGTTCTGGTAATGGAAACATGCCTAATGTTTACACCTCAGAAGTGATGAGCTATACCCGATTAGTGTTTATTTTAAAGTGTTTATCACAGTGGAGCCTCAGAAGAGACAAAGAAAACAATTATCTGACTAAGCTAAAAAAGTAAAAGGAATGTCCGACCACAACAGGAGAAAACATTGAATATTTTCTGAATCGTGAGAGTTCAGAGACATGATCACTAAAATGGATCTCGTCAGTTGCTCACTCAACGCGGTTGATAACATTTTTTCAATCATGAGAGCGAGAGAAGGGACAGACCCAGTTGGACACATCGTTGACTCCTGGAAACAGTGGAACTTGATTTGTCTATCTCAGCTGTCTGTGGAGGACTCTGAAGACGTGTGGATATTAGTGGTGTTGGTGTCGGGTTTCCTGCTGATCGACATTGGAGGCTACCTGGCTTACCGGAAAATTAACGAACTGTAGAGGAATATTGGCCTGATCCCCGAGCTCAGAGATGGATTGCACCACGCTGTGAGTTCACAGACTCACATAGATGAATCGTAAGCTTGGAACTTTGGCCGAGATTCATTCATTGGCACAGAAGATGGATGGCATCAAGGAGAGAGTGGACGAATCAGCACGGATTGGGATAGATTAATGTCCATTATTGGGATTTTGAGAGGTTGAGGACCAACAAATTGTAAGACAGAGAGGAAATTATCTCTTTCTGGCCCCAAAACAATTTCTAATCCGAATCTGGCGCCCTTGAGCCTGCAAGGCTACAACAATCTCCCCCCCTCCCTCAGAAGATATGTGGAATGCGCCGTCGATATGGCAACTCAACTCTGTCTCCTATCCCAGCCTGGGCGGCTGCTGTCTCGGTTTCTTGTTTAGTAAATGCACCAATATTCATTTGTTATGTAACGTGATGTAAGCTTACCCCGGGTCTGTTTGGTAGTTCAGGGAAATCACACCTTCGTAATAAATTGAGACAGAGGCAAAATGTAGTTAATAAAAATCCATTTAAAACTATATTTCTACTACTAATGATGACACAGAACAAATTATGATGAATGGTGGTTGAAACAAGATAACAGAGAGAATGAATGAAATGATGGAATGTAGGCTTAGATGTTCTGTAGCAAAACCTTCTTAAGTGTCTTAGAAAATGGTGATGTCTGGGTTGGAAAATCAGTCTGACTGTGGTTTAACAAACTGTCAGTTAATAAAACCATCCCAGCCAGTCGTGCAGAGTCTACCAACTCTTGTGGTGAAGGCTCCCAGCAGGGGTGATGCCAGGAATTATGGGCCCAATAAAAACCAAACTTTTGGGGCCCCCTTTATTTTTTTCTGATAAAAATTTATCCAATACACATGCCCTGTATATTTTTAGAGTGACAATGTGTAGTTTTTACCATTAATCTCTGGAAATATCCATCGAAATGTTGTAGTAAATAACCTAAAAGATGCAATGTTGTTGAAAAATATTGGCAGTTTTATGAAATATAACCATAAAAACCTGTCTCTGGACGAGGCCATATTAGATGCCATGTTTCCTTCTACGGAAGCCCGTGAGGACAAAATGCATTTATTGATTTGTAACAAATGGTTACAAAACTTTCACCATTAATAAACATTGTTGTTTTACACATTGACCCTAATGGTCATCCGTTGTTTAGGTCTTACTTGAACACAAAAATAATGCTTGCTTGCAGTGATTTAGGTATGCATTGCCCCCTATTGCCAGGGAAACTACACGCTGTCACTTTAAAAAAGATAATTAGCAATAAAATGTCTAAAGATGAGTACGAAGCCTACTATAAAACCCCAAAACTATGGAAATATGTACTTAAACTTTTGTTTTTTTAAATTTATTGAAGAAAGAAAGAAAGAAAGAAAGAAAGAAAGAAAGAAAGAAAGAAAGAAAGAAAGAAAGAAAGAAAGAAAGAAAGTCTATGTGTTATTAAATTAAACAAGTATAATAATCTGGTGTCATTTAAGATCCTTATGGGAATGAACATTTGTTAACTCATCATTCATTACTGTAGCACATTCAACATTATTTAAACACTTTAGATGTAAAACATATTGTAGCGACCACAGAATAGGATTTTAATCACTTGAACATGTAGAAATTTATTTTATGAGCCAGAAAAGATAACTTTATTAAAAGGATTTAGATAAAAAGTCTTGTGTCTTCACAGGCGCCTTCTTCTTCTTCTTCTTCTTCTTCTTCTTCTTCTTCTTCTTCTTCTTCTTCTTCTTCTTCTTCTTCTGGGGTTTAAATGGCAGTTGGCACACACTGAATGGTGCATTACCGCCACCAACTAGTGTGGAGTGTGGCACAGGCGCCTTGGTGTCTCATGACATGGAACAGTTTGGGATACTCATATCAACACCGCCGGTGTCAGATCGGCATGACCTGTATGAAGAAGTTAACTTTTGGCCATTTGATGAAAAACAGGTCTTGGACTACGCTACGTTTGGTTTTTCCATTTAATATAAATGTGCTTTATAATGAATACAAAGTTGTTTGATACATTTAAATTAATATTAAAATGGTCCCAAACATCTGCTCAGTTTTTGATTTGAATGAGTGAAATTCAGTCATAAGTTTCTTTAACTTTAATTTGATTACTGAATCATCTTGAGGTTTTAAAGTAAATAATTTGATTCTAAATGTGGGAAAACAAAGACTCTTAATGAACTCTTCTCTTTTTCTTGCTCAACAAATCAAATATTTCAGAGTTTCAGGTTTTCTTGTCTTGTTTGTCATCACGCTGCTCTTCTTCTTCTTCTGGGGTTTAAATGGCAGTTGGCACACAACGAATGGTGCATTACCGCCACCCATCACTCTGCTCGTTACTCACCTGAGCTCTGTCTACTGATTAGCTCAGCTTTTTGTCATCCTCTAATCTATCCTCCCTGTATAAATAGTTCTCAGGTTCTTCATCACATCACTTCCATGTTAGATCCTTTAGCTTTAACTGGGCTGTGGTCATATCAGTGTGTGTGTTTTGTTTGCTTCTGTCTAACTGAGTGTCCCCCTCATGATGAAGCTGGAAGCTCTGGTTCTGTTACTGGCAGGTAAAAACAAGCATGTCTTATAGCAGGCTGTGATGGATGAAAACATCAAGTCTCATGCTGTCTCTTTGCTGCTGCAGTCTGTGCCAGCCAGTTTCATCTCCATGAGGCTGTGGTATTTATTGGTTCGGGAGAGTTGGACTTCACCACGTGTCCCATCATCTATTGTGGAACTGTGTATACACGGATGAAGGTGAGTTAGATGCGGTGAATCTGAACTTTAGTGGTAAAGCAACAGGTTTTATTCTTGTGTTCCACAGGTGTCCTTCAAGAACTCGCTGTTCTCTATGTGCTCTACAAACGGTGCACGCTGCCTCTCGTTGGTGGACCCACAGGATGATCTTATTTCTGCAGAGGTTCTGTTTGAGGACACCAACCCTGGATCAGTGGTTAACCAGATTCTGCCCAGCTTCAACACAACCTCTCACTGCAAGATTAAGCTTGAGCTGCAGGATCAATCCCTGAGAACTCACGTAGGTTTCACTTTTATTGGCCTTAATTCTGATGACGGGCTCTCCTGTAATCTGAGATGTCTTCTATCCATGTTCAGGTGGTGATTGTACTGTACAACTATGGAGAAATGTCAGCAATTCAGATCATTGCAACAAGTGACTTCAGCTCATCTAAGCTGGTAAATGCTGAGAAAGATTTAACCTTATCTTTAACAAAAACTTGAGTTCTATCTGGTTTGCAGGAATTACTGGATGAAGTGAATCACGTCCCAGGTCTTTCAGTGTCCTTTAACTTGGCTGACACTAACCGGCACAATGGACTAATTTTCCCAGTGAGCACCTGCTCATTTGCAGGTGAGTTGATTGGTTATTTTCCTTTTGGTGGGGGGGTCAGGTGTTACAATGTAAAACATATTTTTTATTTCTCTGTCCCTTCAGGATGGACACAAGGTGGTCCGACAAATGTAACCTCAAGCTGAGAATCTGCATTGGAGAAATGTGTCTTGAGATGTGAAACTAGTAAAGCTACTAAACTTGTTCTAACCTGAGTGACTATTCTGTTTTGTGCTAAAATGACTCAAGCTAAGATCACTAAATCTCTTGTGAACAGGACACTGTTCAAAAAACTAAAGCATCTCAACGGCTGCCATGCAGTGTCAAATTACTAATGCAATAATGTTTACACCTTGGACCTGGTTGGCTTTTATTGTAACATGTTCATCACAGTGGAGATGGACTAAACCTTTATCTGATGCTCAGAAGATAAACAGAGGGTCAATGGCAGAGTGAAGACTATAAAAATGTTCTGGCTTCCCCCAAATTGTAAAAATAATCCCATGTCAGGAAGTTCTTAATCTAGTATTTCTCATCTGATGGTACCATCATCTCGAAGCTAACAGTCTTTATGGCACCTTAAGGTTTGGGCTTCTGTAGCACACACTGTTTATAAATACTGACTATGGGGAAAAACTAAGCTCTGAATCAGCTGAGGTATAAAGTGGTTTTGATGCTATTTGGTTCTAGTTGGGGATATTCCGATCAGGTTCTTGCCATAGAGTTCGAGTCATTTGATATAAAAATGAAATCTGCCAATACAGAGTTCTGATTCGATGCATAACAAAACTGTTGACTTACCTTACATTTATAACAGATAACTTCTGTGAGGCAGCTAACAAAGAAATTAACTTTTGGGCGTTATGGTAAATAAAAACTAATACAACTGAGCACTTACACTTAAAATACCTGGCAGAGGTCTATTTTGCCTCAGCCCCCAAAATGCTTGGATACGTCCCTGGGCATGGGATGGAGCTTTGAAGATCTGAATTGTATCAACTAAATACTACATGCTGATTTATACAGGTACAAACGTGTAGTGGGATAAATTTACCTACATTTTAAGAACTTATTTTCCTATCTTCCTGTCCTGTCTCTGATCTTCCTGCAACTCCGTCCTCCAGGGAAAAACTCCTGTCTGCTCTTTCACCTCACAAGTAACTTTTTAACTAGCAGATCAAATTGACTGCAAAAAAAACCTGAGTGCGCGCTGCGCCAGTGACTAGTGCTGCAGCGGAGGGAGCATGAGTGTGTCCATATGTCATGCTTAAATACAGACAGAACTTATCAGAGAAAATGGACACGAATGACTGTGTTAATTGTAAATTTATGGTGATACCACTTAGAAACTCATAAAATGTTACTGTGGCCGTGTGCAGAATGTAGCTGGAGTTCATGAATAATCAGCTGCTCTGCTCAAACGAATCTCTACTACGCTGAGTCCATACATAATACAGGTATAAACTGGATATTTTTTGTGCTCCTGGGTGTGAAAGGGCATCAGGGGAGCCTGAGAACCTTTAAGGACAACGAAGTTGCTCTCCTGTAATATTGAACCCAGTATCAGAGTCCGGATCGGAGAGTAAAGCCTTAGTGCCGATCAGTCTGAAACCACAGGATTGGGGCTGATTTCCGATCATGGGATTGGAACATCCCTAGTTCTAGTTGCTATAGTGCAGAGCTCAGCAGCAACAACAACTTGACATCTTCTTGACAGAGAACAAGGAGTGGACGGTAGAGAGGGGGGACGGATGCAGGGAGGGTGCTAGTTTAGAAGATGCTCTCTGAAGAGCAGGGTCTTCAGGAGTTTCTTGAAAACTGAAAAGGAAGCTTCAGTTCTGGTAGTGCTTGGAAGGTCATTCCACATTTGTGGAACGATGCATGAGAAGAGTCTGGATTGTCCTGAGCGTGGTGTAGGCACTGCTAGCCGACGTTCCTGTGATGACCGGAGTGGCCGGGCCGATACGTAAGCCTTTGCAAGAGGATTCAGGTAGATGGGAGCCGTACCATCTCGGACTTTGTACGCTAGTGTTAGCAATTTGAATTTGATGTGTGCTGCTAGCGGTAGCCAGTGGAGCTCAATGAACAGAGGGGTGAGGTGTGCTCTTTATGGCTGAAGACCACATGCGCCGCTGCGTTCTGGACCATTTGAAGAGGTCTTG